GGGTATATAGCCAAAGGAAATAAATCGTTACCTTAAAGAGATAGCTTCACTCTCGTGTTCATTGCAGCATTATACACAGTAACCAAGATACGGAAACAACCTGTGTGCATCAGCAGATGAGTAGATAAAGAAAATGTGGTGTATACATACAATGGAATATCAATTGACCATATAAAAGAAGGAAATACTGTTATTTGCAACAACATGGATGAACGTGGAAGACATTATGCTAAGTGAAATAAGACAGATCCAGAATAACAAATACTGCATGACCTCATTTACATATGGAATCTAAAAAAAAAAAAGTTGAACTCGTGGTAACAGAGTAGAATGGTAGTTAGCGGGGGCTGAGGGGTGGGGGCAAAGGGAATATGTTGACCACAGGGTATAAACTTTCAGTTATAAGGTAAATAACTTCTGGAGACCTAATGTACAGCATTAGGTAATAATAATGTATTAGCATTAGGTAATAATAATTAGGTAATAATAATCAGCATTAGGTAATAATAATGTATTATATACTTGAAAGATACTAAAAAAAAAACCCAATAACGAGTTTTTAAAAAGTGATGAACAGAAAAACAGGATTATATTCAGTGGTAACAAAAATAAATTTTATTTGTGGATCGAATCTGATGACATGTGTGGAGGGTTTTGAGAGAAAAAACTCACATGCAAAACCCTTGTCAAGCATTACAGAGGATACAATTATAATTATAACGTGGCTGTCAAGAGCCGTCAAATGTTTCAGGGGACACAAGACACAGGAGCCTCTAACCTGATGCCCAGTGTGATCAGAGTGGACAGGGCGTTTCCTGGTGAACGTTTGAACTAGGTCTTAGAGTATCAGCTTGGGAAGCACTGTTTCTTAGGTTTTCCAGAAACTAAATAGAACCATCTACCCCGTATTTATGAATTATTCATGCCAATAAACAATGCAGGCTCATACACTCTGTTCATAAACATTAGATTTTCATCCATCCCCTGCTCCCACAGTGACTGTAATTTTAGATACGCCAAAAGGGACTGAAATCTGTGAAGGACTGAGTTTGCCTGTGACCCATGCACCCAACTGGATGGTCAGAGCCGCAGGTGCTGGAATGCTGAGGTTGACCAGTTCTCCCAGACTGTATCCATATGCCCCCCTTCCTCAGAGGCAGTCGTGGGATCCATTTAAAAACATATTTGGTGACACTGAAGAGGAGAATCAAAACCTCCCCCTCCCAAAATACCCTCAGGGACAAATGGACTCTTTTTTTATTTTATTTTATTTTATTTTTTATTTATTTATTTTTATTGGAATATAATCGCTTTACAATGGTGTGGCAAACTGACGCTTCAAACCGAAAGAGCAAGAGCAGCCTCCTTTGGTCTGTGTATTTGTGTCTGTGTCTGCAGCTTCATTCTGAGCTCTGTGGGGCTGTATCTATGGTGGATTCACTTCTGCCCCTCCCCGCATTTCACTCTGGGGTCATCCCAGCACCATCTGAGCAGAGTGAGTGCTCAGCCACTGCCTGTTAGGTGCAAAAGGCAGGAATGAATAACGATAGCTAGGGGCTTCCCTGGTGGTGCAGTGGTTAAGAATCCGCCTGGCAATGCAAGGGGCACAGGTTCGATCTCTGGTCTGGGAAGATCCCACATGCTGCGGAGCAACTAAGCCCGTGAACCACAACTACTGAGCCTGCACTCTAGAGCCCGCGAACCACAACTACTGAGCCCGGGTGCCACAACTACTAAAGCCCACGTGCCTAGAGCCCGTGCTCCGCAACAAGAGAAGGTACCACAATGAGAAGCCCGTGCACCGCAGCAAAGAGTAGCCTCCCCTCACCGCAACTAGAGAAAGCCCGTGCGTAGCAACAAGGACTCAATGCAGCCAAAAATAAATAAATAAATTTATGAATAACGATAGCTAGTGCATGTGGTACTTACTCTGTGCCAAACACTTTATATTACACGTACAAAGTAGGTGCTATTATTATCAGGCCCATTTTGCAGGTGAGGGAACTGAAGCACAGAGTTTAGATCACACAGCCTATAAGTGGCAGAACCACTTTGCACTGCATGGTCTGATTCAATTAGCCACGTTCTTAACCGCGTCCGTCACTACCCCAATCCCTGCATATTATGGGTTGGTAAAAGTGACAGGGCCAATGGAATACCTTGAGGGCAGAACCAAGGTAGCATCACATTTTGGGTAGCCCAGAGTGACTCACACTGGTTGGCTGGTGCTCAGGGAACATTTGAGGTGCTAAAGGAAGTGGGTGGGTCATTTGCTGAAATGAAAAGCTGAAGAGAACACACATATGGGTCCAGCAATTAGTCCAAAGCTCTAACTTCAAGACTTGGGCTCAAAAACCAGCTCCTGGCCAATCTTTCAGATGATGACAATAAAGACAACTGTCAGACAGACTCAGAGGAGAAATTCTGGAAATTAATTGCCCTTAGGAATCTCATCAGGACACGAGGTAACCAGTTAATTCGGGGACAAAGAGTAGTTCCTGTAGGTATTTACTGTAGGCCATTGGCGACTTGGGAGGCGCATGTGCCATGGCTCAGTCTTTGAGAAGCTCCTAGCAAAATGGGGAGACGCAGGTCCATCTTCTATCCAGATGCCAACGTAGGGTGGCTCATTAGTTGGCCATGGGCGGTCAGTCCCAGCTTGTGGAAGGCAGCTTGGCTTCTGCCATCGTGTGTCAGGCCAGTCGTGACCTGGAGAGGAGCATTCTGGTGAGACGGCTTCTGGGTGGAGGAGCCCACTCCCGTTTTGGCTGAGGGACCAGCCCCTGGCTTTGCGTTTCTCTGGCACATCACGAATGCCACAGTGAAGGGCACCAGAGGCCAGCTGAACGGCAGGAACAATTGTTCCTTATGGGAAGCTGCCACCCCCAGTGCCATGCTCCTGTTGAGCTAAGAGCAAGTTCCAAGTAATTAAGGGGATTGGGTTCTGAAGCCACTGTGACCATCGTCTTGCACATCCTTGCTGAGAGCTCCTGGCAGGTCCTATCACCTGCCGTCTTGGCAGCCAGACTAGCACTGCGGGCTGCTCCTGCCCTGGTGTCCACTCTGCCTGGAGGGAACTGACAAGGGAGGGCACTCAGTGTATTTGGAAGTTCGTGTATATAGGGAGCTAATTACTCTCTTTAGAAATCTGCATTTGCCACCAATCACAGCTTTCGCGGTGCTGGGACTGTCATGGCAACTAAAAGCATATCTGAAAATAAAATGTCACTTTTCTTTTGCATTTCTAGGATAATGACACAGGAAGCTTGTTTTTCCTTTTCAACTTAACATGATAACTAGAGACTCAAAGAGTATAGGTGTGTGTGCAGCACGTGTGGGTAAGCGGGCGCTGTAGTGTGTGTGAACATGTGAGTTGTGTGTGTGTGTGAGGGTGCGTATGGGTGCTCATGTTGACGGGGGTGGTATGTGCAGCTGTGTGGCTGTGGGGTGAGTCCTTCTTGTGTGTGTGTCCGAGGTTAGGGGCTGAATTTGGGGTTGAGATCACACACAGGCTGTGAGTGTTTGAAGACCGGTGTGGAGAGTGTGTGTGACAGTGCTGGTGTGTGTGCGTGTGTGTGTGTGTGTGCGAGTGTGTTTGCGCCTGAAGACAAGTGGCGCTGGGGGAGGTGAGTCTGCAGACAAGTGCTAGTGCGTGAATGTGTTACACTCCCGTTTGGTGAGACAAGGCTTCTGGCTTTGGGAAGCTTTCTCTCTATAGGGTATCCCTGTGGTTCCAGTCTTTGGGAGGTTCCAGCCCAATCACAGGAGATAGAAGCCCTCTTTTCGGGGAGGACCCAACTCTGTGCCTCAAACCTCATAGAATCAGGAGCACCCAGACACCATCTGGCCCAGCCCTGACCTAGATGATCGGGATTTCTGCTCAAGGTGGAAGGCATAAAGCACACAGACAGTTTGTGTGTCTCTCGTTCATTCATTCTACTAACTGACACACGTTAGGCATAGGGCTGAGCCTGTCCCATCTGACCTGGGGTGGGGCTGACACTCAATGCCTACCACATGTACAGATTTACAACCATGATCACATTTGTACACACCTCTCCACGGCTTCATGCTTCCTAAGACCATTTTCTGAGCCTCATCTCCTATGGACTGGCTTCTCCAGGAGGACACTTCCCAGGCATGGAAATGTACCTCTGGTCAGAATCAGGAGGCTGCAAGGGAGCCTTTTCCCAGGAGGCGAGGTGCAGGGGCCGAGCTGTGAGGGATGGAAGATGGGGATGGATGTTGCTGGGAGAGGCCGCTGCCCACTGCCATGTGCAGACCTTCCCACGGGCCAGCTTTCTCAGGCAAGGGCTCGATCCACAGTGTCCAGGGCTCGTTCAGTCCATCACCAGGATTCTTCCAGTTAACCTCTCTGTACTTCACATCTCTGGAGATTCTTTGTTTTATTATTATTATTTTTAAACTTCAATGTGAAACCAAAGAGAAACCAATATCAAGTAAATGTTAGTTCAATAAGTGTTTTATTGATCACTGCTTATTCTCAGGTCATCCCTGCCTGGGCCCAGGTGGCACAAATGCATCTGAACGATTCCTTGCCTGGAGCTTTTCTCAGTGCAGTGTTGGGAGGAGAGAGAGATAGAGGCCATGGATGACAGCGGATGTAGGCACAGATGAGGGGCGCCTTAAGCCAGCCAGGTGCCTTAACCTAAGCAGAGTTGTAAAGAACTATAGAGGTTGGCCCGATGTCAGGGGTGGGGAGAGAGAGGAAGTCACCCCTCGGTGACTTCAAGCCCACCCAGAGGCTCCATACACGTGGGAAGCAAGTCTGGACTGGAGCTGGTAAAGGGCTGCGTAGTCCGGGATGCTCTTTGCTTTGTCTAAGGAAGTTAGGGTGACGTTGCCCTGGGATGGCAAGTGACGTCACAAGCTTAAGAGCTTCGGCAAGAGTCCTCTCCACTAGATGGCTGTGCTAACTTCTCTGCCCACCCCCCCCCCGCCGCCACATACACTTTGTTTCTGTGGCTCTGTTGGTGTCAACGGCAAGGAAACAAATTCTGCTGGCAAGGCGCTGGGCTTTCTTGCAGGCTGCAATCACACTGGCTGTTCTAGCTCCCTCCGCATAGCTTACACCACAGCAAAGCCCGCAGGACCGGGAGTGGAAAAGAACCTGTAAATATGATGGTCGGTTCCAAAGGCACATTATTGGCTTGTTATAATACCCTCTGGTGACATCGAGGCCTTATCAATAACTAAACATCTGTCACAACCGCAGTTATATTTCTTGTGCCAGGACTGTGTTTTTACGGTTGTCCTGTTTAAATGCGGAAGGGAGGGTGTGAGTTATTGAGGCAACTGACTTTGAGTAGATTACCACTAGACTGTACAGGCAGTAAGTTTCTGTCAACTCCTTGCAGAATCTCAGCGTCTCTGCTGACGTTCCCTTGGTGTACTCACAAATCTCTCTGAGAACATCGCCCTGGACCCCCGATGCGGCTGCCTGAGCAACCTGGAGAGGGGAAGCCTGAGAATGAGGAAAAGGGGGGCAGAGGAGCCCCCGGAGGGGGAGAGGAGCCGCTGAGGACCCAGGCCCCCGACTTCCCCACTTGGCAAGTCTTCTCCCCCAAACCCCCGGAGAAACGAGCTTTCTTGAATGTTTGCTCAGGACTTGATTGTGTTCAGCCCGCAGGTAGGGGGTGGCATGGGGGCTGGAAGCCTTTGTGCCGAGTGTCTGGGGACAGGACACCAGGGAGGGGCCCCAAGGGGATGCGCGTCCCAGCTGGGCCAGAGATTTGACTATCTGTCTTGAGCCTGACAGCTATCCATTGATTTTATCTGAGATGCATGCAGCGGCAAGGGGATGGGTTTGAAAGCTGACTCTCTTAGGGACTGATTAGGTTGGAGGGGGTTGTTCGAAAAAAAAAAGCAACCGATGCCATTTATAGTGTGTGTACTCTGTGGTGGCACAGAAGCAGGAGCTCTGCATAGATAATTTCAATTACTCCTCACAATAACCCCATACGGGTGTTATTAACCCCATTTTTTTTTTTACGGGAGAACAGTAAAACAACCAGTGAACAACGTCACGTAGACCAGATCAAACAGGCAAAGGTCAGCCCAGGACTCCTACCCATGTCTCTGAATCCAAAAACTTGTTCCTAACCATTGGACTCCCCTGCCTCTCCCCCGATTATGGGTGAGAAGGTCAGCTCAGGGGGAGGGGTTGTATGTGTTCTAAGTCACAGGTTTCTGTGGGTTTGATCCTACTCTCTTTCTTTTCCTTGGAGACATTCATGGCTGTAAAAACTCAAGAGGAATTTCAACTCTGGGTGGTTTTGTATAGAAAGAAATTTTGATCTGTGTGAAGCTGACATCGAGGATTTGGTCTGGGTGAGCCCTTTAAACAGGTATGTTCTGCTGTGGTCTCCCCAAGGCTGTCTGGAATGGGATCCCCAGCCCTCTCTGTCACCAGCTCCTAGTGGGGGCCACGAGTGTTTATGGTGGGGACTGTGAGTTCAGGGTTAGGCTTCTGGGGGAATAAAGGAAGTGGACATATTTCTGATCTGCAGCAATTTCTCTCCAGAGCTGGGGGCTGGACAGCAGGGACCAGCACAGGATGCTGTAAGACTCTATCCAGAACCTTCTCCAGTACAACTCATTGTTTGGGAAATCAAGGTGGGAGCTGATAGGATCTTTGGCCAAGGGTGTGCTGACCTGCAGGGTGAGCCATTCTCATCGACTCTGAGGGAAGGTCTGGAAGAGGGCAACGTGAAGCTGAAATGACATATACTGAAGGCAGGCTCAGAGGGAGGTTCTGCTCAGGAAAGCTGGTCAGGGGTCAGAGGACGACCTGGCCTGGGCCTCCCCAGCCTGGAGAGGAGCCCCAGCAGGAGGCATGGTCCAGTCCAAGGATGAAATCCCCATTTGGTTTATTCTCAGTCTGGAATAAGTGATAGCATCCTGGGCACTTGCCCTGGGAGGGAAGGAGGGAAGGACTGGGGCAGAGAAATGGTTCTGCATGTCCTATGGGGTCTGTGGCAAATGACAGATGTGGCTGATGCTACAGAGGATAAGGAGAGTTGCCCACCTTAGTGGATGAGAAGATATCATGCAGCAAACAGAAAAAGAAGTCCAGTGGAGTCAGAAACCCTTTTTTACTCAACATACTCCCACATTAAAAAATATTTCCCTATTTGTTCCTGTGACTTTGGGATTTAGAGTTTTGGGGCCAGAACTGTGATGAGCATGAGTTAGGCAGTTTACTTTCCCTCATTTCTGGGGGCAGTAGTAGCCCAAGAGGAATGAATCTGCTTCTCCCAAGCCATCAGCTTCTCCGTGGGGGAGAGCATGAACTCCTCTTGGACCCCAGGGCTGAGGGTCTCTAGGCTCCTGGCTTGTTCTCATCACACATTCACAGTCATACCCACACACCAACAGACATAACACTTTTGTTTGCTCCTTCCTTGGAGGCAGACACACACATTTCTCAACGATTTCTTTGTGCAGTGCACAGAGAGAGACAGCTAAAAGGAGGAGGGGTGAGATGGGGCCAAGGAATGAAGTTCCATGGTCACAGTCTCTGCACCAGGGCTTGGATGTGGAGGGGAAAGGGAAAAGAGCCCACCTGGAACATGTTTTGTGTAACTTTCCATCAGTGAAGTCTCACAGAGTAGAGAAGGTTGCATCCCTGTCCTCCGGTTCCCTGGCTGGGAGCCTCCTTCAGATAAAACACAGGTGTTGAGTACTGGGACTAGTTTACAGAGCATCAGGGGCCTCAGTCCTGAAACACTCTGGGTCCAGGTGGTTGTGCCTGGTATGGGCAGGGTGGGCAAAATTATAAAGTCAGGAGGAGTCTCCTCCACGTGTCCCATCTTCCTGCCCCAGATCATTTTCCCATCTCCTGGTACCAATTTGATTCCTAGTAACAGAAGTCCAGTAGAAGTCTCCTAAGTGAAAAGAGAAATATCTAACATCGTAACACAAGATCCCAGGCACTGGTGGAGGGTGGGAGAAGGTATGTCAGAAAATCCAAAGCCTCAGGGAAGTGAAAAACCTGAGAAAGCTGTTTCTTTCTGCCTGTCTATGTCTGTCTGGTTTCTCTGTCAATATATAGTAAAAATTATCGCTATCAAGTTGCTGCCAATTTGGCAGTCAGCCTCAACTGGGAATTAGTATGGTCCTAGTTCCCAAATCCCTGGGGAACAGGCTCATAGCTGCCCACTCCTGATCAAATCAAGTGTCCAGGGGATGAGGGCAGAGAGTATGAACGTGGTTGCTTCTGCTATAAATATGTGGGTGGAACCGGTGGAGAGACAATGAGAAGTGGGACCGCTCCTCACCCCAGTTCCTTCAGATATTGGTTTTGTATTCCATTCTTGAAGTTGGTCAGCTACTCACGAGGTGCAGGTAAGGTGCTTGTTATTCATACTCTAAGTTGGAGCCTTTCAGAGAAGGGGGTCCCCAGGAGACGCAGAGGAGTGAACTATCACTGGTGGGACAAAAGCAGTGGGGTAGCTGAAGCTGGCTGGGGGCACTGCAGTGGCCTGTGGAGAGAGACGTCATGCAGAGGCAGGGACTGGAGAGGTAGGACCCTCTAGCCTCCTCCCAGCCCATTCTCCTGACTGTCAGTCTGGAAGATTACAGAATTCCCCAGAATGTCTATTCCTATGTCTTTGCCAAGGTGTGGCCAGGCTTTCTCTTGATGAATCTGGAGTTGGCCTGTAGCTGGGGACCTTCCTTCTCTTCTACTCTGAAGAGTCTTGCAAGGGCCCATAGCAGTGGAGCCCTGCTTCTCTCGGGCCCACCAAGGTGCTGACTCCTTGGGCTGGAGGCTTGAAAGGATGCTCTTCCCGTTTTGTCCAGACTCTGAGACCTGGAACTCTTTTGACCAGGTCTGGAGCTGACTCATGAATGGTCAGTAGGCCCAGGAGACCAACTGGAAGAGAGTCACCAAGGATAGAGAGATACCCAGGTAGCTTCAGAAAACCACAGCTAGTAAACAACCCCACTACCATGGTGCTGCTCCAACCCAGCCCAAAGGAAGCTTTTCTAGTATGGGGAGAAATGGATGTGCACTGTTGATACCTGAGCTAAAAATAGTCCATGTTCCAAACAAAGTGTTTTTTAGTATTTTGACATGAAAACGTGTAGACAAAGCAAGGATTTAGAATGCATGACTCATTAAATTGCTGACTCTGAAAGCAATAGAAATTCAAAGGGAATTTTTCTCTCCCTATTACTCCCTCCCACCCCTGCTCTGAATAGCTTATAAAGAGAGTTTCTACATAAACAGGACCTATAAACTCCTCCATGATTTAAGGTCCTGAGCAGTGAGGGGCAGAACGAACTCAAGTTTTATTGCCTGGTTACTAAGTTGGCTTCCCTAGTTCGGTTGGAATCATCAACCAGAGTCCCCCCTGGTCTGCCCATCCTAATTTCCCCTCCTCGTGTCCCTAACAGGTGTCCAGGGGATTCCATGGCCCTACCACGGCCACTGCTCCTCCCTCCCCACAATGCCCAGCTCTGTTGGACCCCAGCAGCATTCATGTCACCAGCCCTAATGAGGATGTTTCATCACCGAGCATTAGCTCTGGGGAGAGCACACACCATATGGTTCTGTAGAAGGATGCAGGAGTGGGCACCTCCATCAACTCACTGGGAGCCTCGGGTTCTTTCTCGGGTTGAATGCAAGGGTTGGGTCTCATCAGTGATGTTCATTTTTGTTTTGTTTTGTTTTCCTCACAAAACCTTTCCAAAATATGTCTTCTGGAGAATCCCAGTATGTAAGGCAAAAAAAAAAGAGAAGACCCATTCTGGTTGGAGCAAGGTTTGTGTGCGTTTGGGAGAATGGGGAGGTACTTCAGGGCCCCTGAGATGAACAGTGAGACCTTTCACTTGGAGAGACTATTGGTCGACCTTCATAGCATGGTTCCTAGAAAGTTGTGTAAAAATCTCGCCTCTGACCTCTCCTTGCTGTCCTCACCTGCTTTCCTTCCAGTCACTCCCGCGCTCCTTGATCATCTTAGTGCCTGTTCTGTCTCACATCTGCCCAGAGTCCTGATGTCACGTGAGGAAGCTAAAACCGTGTGGATGACAAGGCAACATTTCCACCTCATGTTCCTTCAGATTCAACTCACAGAACTCACACTGCAATACTCCCCTCTTTAACAACCTCCTTGATGGTGTTTACCACTGTTATTCCTATTTCAGGATATAGAGCATACTGAGAGAAAATCTTACATGGTTGTGGGACATGGGTAGGTGATACTCATAGCCTTCAACTCCAGCTGGTCTTCAGTGGGACTCAGAGGTCCTCCTAGGGACCAGGTCTCCTCCCCATGTTCCACCATGACTGTTTCGCCCACTACCCACTCATCTAAGAATGATGCTACCTGCTCATTCCCAAGTAAAACAAAGGCCCCAGGAGGAAACTTCTCAACTTCCTGAGCACCTGTCTGTCACCTTTTCTGCATCCAAGCTCATCTTTGCCCCTCCCTGCCCATCATAGTGGAGGAGGACGCCTTTCACCAGGTCAAGGACCACCTGCCACCTGTGCCCAGGCATCTGTTCCCTGCCACCCTCTCTGCAGGGACCTTATTCCATCAATTGTACCT